CCCACTCTGTGACCTAGCTTCGTTGAACTGGGTCAGTCACAGAGTGCCCAGTTCCCCTGCGGTAAAACAAATGCAAAAGCATCCCTATGACTCCAAGGGTGACACACACACACACGTCTCCCTCGTCTCCCTAGCTGGCGACCGCGAGGCCAGCTTTGGACTGGTTCCCTTCATGTGCTACCAGCATCCCATGGGCGAGGCCAGCCTGCTGAAGTATCCGAACGTTCCTTGGGCGAGTTTCTCGCGTCTCGTGTTTCGACGCGTCGGGACGACGAGCTCGTCCGCGTGGGGAGCCGCTCCGGCGCGCGGGGGCGGACGCGTGATGCCCCGGAACACTTTGACCGAGGGGGTGCGCATGATGATCCCGGAACTTGCGTTTGGATTCCTTTGACCCCACCTGGCAGTCATGATCCATCAATATCCATCGCTTCTTCGGGGCGTTGGCTATATGAGTCATGAACCAAAACAGGGCCTGCTGATGTCTACTGCATCTATGCTGGGATCTGTGGAAACCGGAAGCCCCTTGTTCCCATGCCGTGTGAGCTTGGGGATCACAAGTAAAAAGAAAAAACGGGACACTTCGGAGAGTTCTCCAGGCTTACAGGTGTTTAGCCAGGGTCGAACGTCCACGAGCAGGGGGAGAGTAATCATAGATTCAGACACGACTAGTGGGACTGGCATAATTTGTATACTGATCAGTCGGGGGGGGTTGAAGAGGGGTCAATGGGTCAGCATCTATCCCAGTCCCATGGACTCTTTGGGATAGATTTAGAGAAAGTATTTCCACAGTTTAACATACCATCCTTTCTGCAATCAGCCCGTTGGCTTTGTTCCATAATCCCTATATACTAGCTTCAACAAGAAAAGTGAGCCCCCCCACAAGTTGATTTGAGGATTCTTCCGGTGATCTTTCCTTCTACGTGTCTCTTACTGTCTGTGGAAGTGTCTGCCTGTGGCAATTGACATCCAGATGGCTGTAGCCGAACAAGTCTTTGACCCGTCACGGCGCGGTGGTCTTCCACAGCCCTGAGCCTCGACCTCCAAGGGGCAATTGTTAGGCACCCCGTTTTCACGCGGCCCTGGTATGCCAGGTTTCATGGATTCATCCTTGGTCCATGATGGGTCGACCACCGTCTGAGGGGTCGACCATGGCGAGTCTGATGGGTCGACCGAAGTTCCTTTCAGAAAAAAGGCCCAGACTCCCAGACCTTGAGACCCATTGAGGCCCAACAACCCCTCTGTTGGAGGATGCTGGTTTTTGTGAATCAAGACTGAAGACTTGTTCCCAATCGCTCTCCCCACTCCCAATCACAGACCGATCGTCCATTCCGAGGTGCTTTGCGGCTACCCGGCACATCAAGGCATGATCGCAACAGGTGTGGTGGTGGCTCCTTGGATGGTGCAGATGGCGTTTCCCTCCAAACCCCGTGGGCGTGTCCGGATTCGGGGTCCGAGACGGCGACCGCCGCCGAACGCGGGCGGTGACCTTTTCGAAGCGTTGAACGGTCCGGGGGTCAAAACCGGGCAGTACATCCGCACTGGATCGGAACTTGCTAGCTGTCTTCGTGTCTAGTAAATCCGCACTCGCCTTTTCCAAGAATGCTAGCTGTGTGGGGTTGCTACTGAGGATATACAGAGAAGCATTTCCACTGTGAACTGAGTGTTTTCCAATTTGCAAGTGGATGTCCAAAAAAGAGGTTGGCAAGGGTTTCATCACCCAGCTACCCACATCTCATCACCCAGCCACTCGCACATTTTTTCTACACCGTTTGAAGGTGCAAATAGCGTCGTGTAAAGATCTCTAATTTGGAGCCACCCCTTGGCCAACCTGGCGCAAGAATGACTGGCCAGGATCAATCAGCAAACTCAACAAATTTGTTTTACATTAAGTTACCTTCTGTCAGCTACACCAGCACATGTGTTCCCAAGACTTTTTCCATCTTTCTCCCCATGTGCGCTCATGTGTCCAAAACACATGATCCAACGATCCAAGCTGTATGCCCAAAGGTCTTCTAAGGAAGATTGTAAGTATGGGCGACCTCAACGCCGGCTTTCCGCAAATCCTTCAAGCGCTTTACACGTGCTGCATTACCAGCTTCACGCCAGTCAGCCGGGTCGTCACTGCCCGCACGTTTCTTTGTTGCCCATCCAACTGAGTAGGCCTCAAATCAAAATGAACCACACAGACCCATCCCAAATGTTTGTCCAAAACCTACTAGGACCAGAACGGAATGAAGGTCTTTCTTCAACTTCTCCAAGGTCCACCCCTCCTGGAAGCAAACTGTAACATGTTGTAACTGTGCAGTTCAGTTTTTCTGGAGGTGTCATTTGGAACGTTTTGTGGTTTCCCCTGTCCTTGGAAATCGTTCCTTTTGGCTTTCTGGCGTTCTTCCCTGTTGGCTTTGCAGTCTCCTTTCCCTTTCGTAACCCTGCCACCCCCTTGGACTTGGCTTTGGGTTTGGGCGCTGCCTTTCCCTTGCTGCTTGCTGCTGGCTGCGCTTTAGCTTTTGCAAGTAACCCAAGATTGGGGCGAGCTGCGGACAATTCTTCACGAGCAGGGTCTTCAGTGACACCAGCCTGCCAAAACCAAAAAGAAATTGAAGTGCATATTAGTAAGTGTCGACCTTGCCAAGCAATGCGCTAGAACTGTGAAACAGTGTCCTTTCATAGGCAGGAAGGCGCTAAAACAGTTTTTCGAACAAAGCTAACTGTTACAAGGCGAGCCTTTGGCCGGTTGCGAACAGGTGTTGGGATTGCCTCACACATAAATTTATCATGTTAGGCAAATGTGGTTACAAAGAAACTTGCAGCACCTCGATTGCAGGCATCTCAGGGCGCTCAACTTTTGGGATCTCCTGAAGCAAGAGTTTGCTCCACCCGGTTTGGTTTGTGATAATGTTGTTTAATCTCCAAGTTTTTTGATCGGGTCCTCCTCAGCACAGGGTGATGCTTCAACTTGTTCTTTCCAGTCCTCATCAGGTGGTGGGTCTTGGCCCAAAATAAGACATGCCGGGAGCACACTGAAACAAAGAACTAACATCTCCTCTCGCGGAATTCCAGGAAGTATCAGGGTCTCGGCATCCGAATGAGCTGGCGTGCCCACCAAACCTGGCAACACATCAATGTAACAGAACAAGATTGGTTGAACCCCAGCCTTGTTCGGATTCATCTTTGGCATTCTGGCCCGGTGTCATCTCCATAGCAAAGTCCACAGGTTCAAATAGGCTGTCTAGATGATCAAGGAAATCGTCTCCCACAAAGCGGTCTGCGAACTGATCCTTTTCCTCACAAGGAGGAACATCCTGAGGGTCCATTCTTTGGAGCCTTTTCAAAGCCGGCTTGGTGACCCCTGCAGGGGTCAGAGGAGTTGTTGGCTGTGGGTCTTCAGGCACAGGACACATATATGCGTCAGAAGTGACAGGAGAAGCATGCACCTGGCGGCTTTTGACTTGATCCTGGCACTCCAAGAACAGCTGGCACTCAGTACAATCAAACAAAGATCAAACAAAACAGGCACACCTTCAACCCAGCAAGGACGTCAATGTCACCAGCAGGCTGGTTTTCCTGCCCAATTCCACTAGACAGCAAATGATCAGCAATGGAATTGTCGCTCGAACCAGAAAGCATCGCAGGCCTCTGTGGCCTTCTTGAGTTTTGGTCCTGGCTTCCGACCAGATCCTGTGCTTCGGCTGCCTGTCCGAGCAAAAAAAACAAATTCTAAAGTCCTGGAGATTGGTTTGCATGCCTGGCCTTTCCGGGGTTGTGCTGAAGGGCGCTTCTTCGTCGTTGGTTTTCGTTCGTTACCTGTACCCGCATCATCAACCTCATCATCATCATCATCATCTTTACGGCCAGGTTTGCGGGGAACATCAGCACCACTCTCCTCATCCTCATCATCATCTCTCTTTGTTTTCTTTCTACTGTCTTTTGCCTTAGCCTTTCCCTTTGGTTTCTTAGACACACTGTTGGGCTTCCCTTTCCCCTCTTTTCCGTCATCTGGTTTTGTTTGGGTTGGCTTCGACTCGTCAGATGAAGATGCGGAGGCATTGAACCTGGGAGGTAGGCCTGCCCGGCAAGATTTAGTTGTTAACTGCTAATTGCAAATCAAATAGCAATGCAACATTACATAAGTTGAATCAAACCTGCCTGGTTCCTCAACGGGTGATGGCGCCTTCAACTTTGCCTTCGGAGTTGCCTTGGGCACAGACTTGGGTTTAGGTTTGGCAGCATTCGCGGCTGTGCCACCACTTGTAGCCGGTCTCGCGGAATCCAACATATGCTCCAGGTTGAAGGCCTTGTGTGGTGTGTTTTGGGAATCGCTGGCTGAAGGTTAGCTATCTAGTATCAGGCAAAATGCTTTGAAACTGGGAAATGCTTGAAAACGTTCAAGCCCGAATTGATTTCAAGGTACAGTATGTAGCTAGATCCACATCTTTTGAGACAGTCACTAATTAAGCCTCAAGCTGGAGTTGCATGATGCGCCGGCGTGCAGCCATCAAGAATCTCAACATCAGAGTCAGGCTGAGACATGGTTCAGCGAGTCTAGGGTCACAGCACTCCTTTGGACAAAAATATCCTTCAAACAGCAAAACAACAATGGTGCAAAGTTCTTTTTTGCAGAAACATGTGCAGAATGGACACCCTGGCACTAGTGTCAACGAATCTTGCAGTCGATGTCATGCTCATGCCACTTTGCCACTTTGCCCTTTTTTGGCCGATGTGTATCAACGGCTACACTCCCAAAACGCCCGCACCTTGGAGAAGAGTCTTTTGCTAGCGTCGGTCATTGTAAAAAGACAATTTCAATACAAAGGCATTCTATATCCACATAAATTTTGTGTTTTCTTCAGAGCACGCCCCTCCGAGCAGGTCTTGTGAGGGCTGAAGCACCAAACAAAAGGAGTATGCAGGGCTGGGCCTAATGGTGAATTTCTTTCAAAGCTTAAACGGTAAAAAGGGTCAAACCATGTCCAAACAGCGTTGCCCATTGCCCTCACGGTTTACATGAGCTGCACGGGTTGACCGGGCTCTAGGTCAAGCTGCCCGTGAAGCACGCACACAGGTCGCTGTGGCTTCAGAATGGATTTGCCGCCGGTTGTGTCCAACCTGGCACTCAAGCTGCAATGTTGGTTGGGCGTTGGCAGTGTTGGGAGTGGAGAGGACAGACTGCTGGTCAAAGATGTTGTCGGTCCAGAGTTTTGGGTCCCAGCCTAACCCGCCAGCCAACTTTCAAGGCGTCACTTTGGATGACCTTCTTCAAGTCAAACTTCGCACCAAATGTCAGCGGAGAAGCGGCCTACCAGTACCAAACCGGGTTTGGACCAGGGAAGGCTTTGGATGTGGATCTGTGAGTGGGGTATACACATAAAAACAAGCTTCAAGCTTCAGCTTCACAGCCAGAGACATCCAAACTAAAGAGTCGCGTCTAAGAGTATAAATCCACACCACAGGGTCACGTCCACGAGTCTAGATTCCTTGGCCCACTGGAAAAAAACTACCCAGCCTTCTTGGAATCTTTGGTGGCCTTTGCGGAATCCTTTTCCTTCTTCTTCTGCTTTTTCTTGGGGGGTTCACCAGTGTTCTCCTCATCTTTCTTGCCATCAAGACAAAAGCACAAGGCCTTTTCCGAGGAAATCGAATCCTTTGCCAAGTCAATGGCATGGTGGCTAAAGCCAACTTTCACCTTCAAGGGTGTGGCAAGTAGAAGTTGGGTTGGGAAGTTTTCCTGGGTCAACGCTACAGCGACAGAGAAAAAAACACTGGACCCGTTTGCGATGGCCCCCAGTGCCTCACCAGAGTCTTCCAGAAGCGTCAAGAGCTCGCGTAAGTTCGTTGGTTTCTCCAGGCAGGGGAGCTGTTGAAGGTGAGTCAAAATCTGTTTTTTCTCCAGCACAACCAAGCTATCAAAGGTGAGTTTGCACGCCAACCATGGGGAATCGGACTCCATCATTTCCACTGCATCCCGCCCATCATACCACGTCCCAGAACCAAAGGAACACAATTCGCGGCCACTTAGCAAAGTAGCCTGTTCCTCTGACATGGCAAAGACCTGCTCTCCGGTTTGACTGCAGATCAGGGACACTTGGGAATTGACCATCAGCGTAGACCTAGGCTTGGGGGTAGGCTGGAACCATGTACAGCGTGCATTGGACTGCGCAGACAGAGTGCTAAGGTTGAAGCGTATTTGGCAAGGCGGTCATCTTGGCTGTCGTCAGGGGCTCATCGGTAGCCACAACCACGGCTTTAGAGACTGTCGGCTTCTGAGGGTTCACCACTGTTTCTTTCAAGCGAAGACCCTCGGTGTTGTATGTCTGGTTGTGATGCTGGATGATCTCGTCAAATTCAGGCATCTCCCCAAATTGTTCAAAGAATTGTTCTTTCACAACCAAAGAACCATCAGCTTGGAGAGATGTCACTTTATAGGTAAATGACTGTGATGGAGAGTTCTGGTTGCCTGAAGTGCGCTGCATCTCTTGGAGAAGAGGGTTGACATCCGGGAAAGAGTCCAATTGTAGGCGACCTGTGCGACATGCCTCATAGGTGGCTGTGGAAATACGTCCCACCAAATTTGCTGATCGGTCCGAACCCTTCTCCTGGATGACAACGGTTCCACAAATGGTGGTTGGTGTCGACGAAGCGGCCTGCATAGAAAGATGGGTTCAATGATTGGTTGATTGATAGCTTTGGCATGGGTCCATCCAAAAGGTTAAGTATATATATATTATATTTGTAAAGCATATGCTTGACAATCAAGTTCTATACATCATCCCATGATCTTAATCTGGCGAGACTTGACAAGTAGTTTCGTTTTGTATCAGGATGGAGCCATACACCCCCAAATTCTATTCCCCTTGACAACACATCCGTTTCTGAACCTACCTCTAGCACAGCAAGGGCTGCCCACCCGTCATATCCACACGCATCGATCCAAGCTAGCCGTTGCAATGAAGCTCCCGAAACCAGTGACTCCTGAATCCGTCGGATGAGGCTGGTACCTGCTGCAACCTCGCAGGCGGTATCGATGGTGTTGTTTTGAAAGCAGGTGTCGCTGCAGTGTATACGTATATAGTTTATTAATGTTTATCAACTAACAAGCAAAAAAGAGGCTATATATTTTGACTTGAATCAGGGGCCCTAAATAACTCAACAACACAATCACACAGTATTTGCGCAGCTCAATGTTATTCAGTTTGCCAAATCAAGCAACAAGAAACCTGTCGTTGTTCCTGGCAATCTGTCATGGAAGCTTGCATGGAGAGAGGAGCTGCACCCGAATGCTCTTTGAACATGTCAGCCCGACTGCACATTTGCACTTCGCTGACGGTTCCCCGACGCCAGGCTTGGGAACGCCAGAACACATTGGGAGCTGTTGAAGAGCGCGCCTGGGCTCAAGCTGCATTAGGAATTAGGAGAGAGAAACGGACATGACTCTCAAAGACTGCACTGTCAACCAACGGCCTGACTTCCTGTGTGTATCAATGATGCATATTGAATATTGCAAATTTGGAAGAAACGGGTTGTCCTAAAGCTTGAGGGCCTTGAGTTGCCAGAGACTGTTAGTTAGCCAAATGCCTAAGGATCTCAAAACTGTCTTCTCTGGATAGTTATTCGTGCGACAAACAACTACACAACAAACTCAAACTTGCTTCCTTTCAGGGCCCCTTGAAGCCAGCTTGTGATATGTGCTGCATGCATAGATCTACCCCCATCAATCAAAGGTACTGTCACAAGGAGACCTTTCAAGAATCCAGCACGCTGGCCATAGATCGACGAGGGATCAAATGCAATCACCAAGTCTTTGACTATCAGCATACGACCTGGTTCCCTCAGAGTCGACTCAAACTTGTGCCTGAAATTCATCAAAAGAGTGTGTTCTTCATCTGCCTTATCATCTTCATCATCTTCAGACTCACCACCTGACTCGCGTTTCGTCTCATCTGGGCCCTCCTCATCATGGTCAGTCTTGGTAGAGCGCCTCACAATGGGAAAGAACATGCACCTGTTACAACCTTACTGTGAGTGAAGACACGTCGCTATTTTGGTGCAACATGTGTTGTCAAAGCACTTCCAGTTGTCCCTGAGTTCTGGACTTTCGCCCTTCAGATGCTCTGTTTGCATGGATGATGACAGCCACAGAGTTTGTCGGACGTGCTGCCAAAAAACTTGTGCACAGAGCATGCACATAGTTCAATTTCGCTGCACTGATCACCCCCATGCTTGGTAGGTTGAAGTACAACACATGACCCTCCTCAGAAGCGGTTCGGAGAAACGTTTGGTCTTCAAACCTTTCTTCTATCCATGGCAGTAACGTAGGTAAAGGCGATGTCTCTGCTTTCAATGACCACACTTTGAGATTGTGGTCCACCCAGCTGTGGACAATCTCCCAGCTTCGGGTGTGCCTCAAAAGTGAGAAGGCAAGTCGTGATTGTGTTTGGCACCAGGAAGCTTCGAAAGTGGTGACCCCTGACCCTTTTGCGCAACACATTCACCCTGACTAGCTGCATCTCCTCCAATTTGAGTAAGGTGTCACGGCGCTTCTTGGAGTCTTCCTTGGAGCACCTGGTCGCGAGGCTTGGGAAAACATTCTGGGACAAAGCGGGGAGGAAACTGACAAAAGGACCATTACCTTACTTCTAGTATCAAATAGTTGGTGTCGGTCAAGATGTAAGCTCACCCTGTGCTTTTGAAATATTTAGTTATAATTGTCGAAAGGTTTGGGAATATCGAGGGGCAATGAATGTGCAGCTGTCTCTGATGCTATGCAGTGTTCAATTGTCCCACAATGGCGCATACGTTGTCCTTTAGCCCAGTGATGTTTGGAGCCAGAGTTGTAAAAAAGAGTAGCTACACAGAGACTCCAAAAACAAACATCTAATTATTGGTTCCCTACTTTCTTCACAAATGCTCAAAAACATCTGAGACAAAGGTTTGTTTGTTTAGTGACAGTTTAGTGGGCCCCAGTCAGCGAGCTGTTTGACGCCCGAAAGTGAGCTATATTTACCTTGCTGGCCTGATTTTCATGGCCTCGTAAGCAGCTGCGTCCTCTTCCAGCTGGGTCTTGAAGAGGTTCCAGGCTGCAGTCCGGGAGGCTGCGTGCGCATTCTTGGACTTACTCTGAGCAGCGACGATGTACTCCTCTTTCTGCTTACCCAGGACCTACCCGGCAAACAAGGACCTTTTTGAATATGTATTAAGCTGACACCATCCATGCATGAAAACTGAAAACCTTCTACAAGACCCCAGGATAGTTCAATCCTGATTCAGCAACGAATGCTTGTTGTTTGGCTGTATTTCTGGATTTCTTTGCCTCTAAGGGTTTGCAAAAAGACACGTCAAACTGCTAAATAAAAATCACCGACCCCATTAATAACTTCCAGAGGGAGTATGTCACCGCACATGGCCTCGATCACGAACGGCACTCTATCCCACTTCAACTGTGGGTCTGCAGCCTTGCACATGCATGAGAGGTCTTGGTCGAAAAGCCTTGGCTGTGTGGGGTCTCAGAGAAGTTGGTGAAGGAAGGGCATCCTGCAAAGACAGGTCAGCTTGTGAAAGACTTGTCGTGTTCTGGTTTTGGAAACCGGTTAAATTACTGAAGAGGCCCTTTTCTGATATGAGGAGATGATTCGGGAGAGATAGTCTGCTCATGACTTTCTTACTTAAAACATTTGAAACAGTTTATGAACCTTCAAAAGGACTTGAGACCTTTTCATATAACCAAATTATGAGACTCAATGATTCTACGATGTGTTTCCTCCCCAGGCAGGTGTACAACATCAACAAAACTAATTACAATTTGGTTTTGCCCCGGGCTACAAAATCCAGAATTTTACAAAAACGGTTTTCCATCCTGACGGGTTTTCGGCTTACAAAACGAAAAAATTTGCAAATCCGTCTTGGGAAAGTGACGGGTTTTACAGAAACCCCATCAAACTATCCGCTACAAAAATCCAAAATTTGCAAAATCATTTTCTAAAACCCATCACGGTTTGGCGGCCTTCTTAGAGGTGCAAATTGCGACGGGTTTTCTGGAAAACCCATCACAATTTTAATGGTTTTGGCTCGACCCATCACACTCCGCCCCCAGGAGTAGACAGTTGGATCATGACGGGTTTTATTTTTAAATAAGGAATTGCGACGGGTTTTCCGGAAAACCCATCACATTCAGGAAGGGGGGGACAGGCTCTCAAGTGTGACGGGTTTTAGGCGGTTTTAGGGGCGGATGTCCCATGGGCGGTCCCCACTCCTGTCTGAGGCACCCCTTCGCAAACATGTCATCAAGCTTGGGCATCATCTCGCCATCGACAGATGCGAGAAGTTTGGGGCGGACCCATTTCCAAGCAAGGACACTGTCCATCAAGTTCTGGTGGTCTTCCAAAGAGAGCTGTGCTGATTTCTGCCGGGCACAGTAAGGAAAGGGGATTGTAATCGAGAACACACCCGCACTCTAGTTTCAAAAAAGTGCAATGCAAAATCAGAACCGGGCCTTTGCTTTTGACGTGGCATCTTTGCTCACTTTAGCATCGAAAATCTGAGTAACTCGTTCAATGTACAGAACTGATGCTTCTTCATCAATGTTCATGATCTCTTTCCAAAGCTCTTTGCCCCTATACCGTCCAAATTCGTGCCGCTCAACTCCTGGGACAAAATGTCCAGCTGAAAGCACGTCGTAGGGGAGACCTATCAGGCCCCCACACACACACAGGGAAAACAGCCTTGTTGTGAACAGGACGCAGGTCAACGCAACCCTTTTGAAAGGCTCGTGCCTCTATGACTCTATGGCCTGTGAAACCTGACGTGCATCCTATACGGATCTGGCCGAGCTGGTCTGTCTGGCAGCTGCGCAGGCATGTCATGACGTGGAGCTTGCCCACCAGCAGCAAGAAAATCAAGCGGCCACGCATCTCGGCGGGTCCGTGGAATTTTGCCTGCCAAGCTTCTCATGTAAGCAACAGCGCGTGAGTACTGTGGGAGTGTTTCTAGAGCATCAGCCAGTTCCAAAAGTTCCTGAGCCCGCTCTGGCTCCAGATCGGTTTGCTGCCCGCAGTGGCTTGCACCATCACGCAAAAAGGCTTTAGCCTTCTCACACTCGTCCCCGGGCCAGACAAGAAGTGCGGGCTGGCTCAAATCTGAATCTGCCAAGCTTTGCTTGAGGAGACAAAACACGTCCGAAGTGCCCGGCTCATATCGTCGGGGAAGACGTTCATCTCGAGGCACACGAGCAGGCAAACCTAACTAACACCAATTAATTGCCAACATCAGTTGGCCAATAACACGTTTCAAAAATAGGCCATCATTGCTTTTAAGGGGCAATCCCTCCGACGAAATAGAAAGCTGTGTGGGATTTTCTCCTCATCATCGGGAGTCCGGGGTCTATACACGTTGCTCATGGTTGCAACATGCGGTGCCAGTTGCTTCCATGGTCGCACCTCGAATTCTTTCAGCGCACTGAACCCTTTGAACCTCTCAACCTGCAAAACTCGCAATCAGCATCCTCCAAATGGTTGAACCGAGGATCTTTATCCATAATCACAACTTGGAAGAACTCACCACGCTTGGTGAACACTTCAGCCACATTGGCCTCAAGAAGCCTGGGAGGTAAGAGGTGGATGACACATGATCAAGAATGGTTCGATCCACAGGCAAAGAAACACCAAGCCTCTGAAAGTCGGTTGGAGTCTGAACTTGGTCTGTGGCATTCATGAGGTATCCAGTGATCAGCCCGAAGAGTCCATCTGATCATGGCCAAGCTTGCCCGGAAAAAAACACATGATGCAGCAACAGACTTAGCTGCCAGGCCTATGTCCTCGTGAGTGTGTCCTACCGGGAGGTGATGATGTCCGCACTCATCGAAATACCGGGCGGTGATGAGTGCGGACATCATCACCCCCGATAGTGAGTTCTTGACTTCCTTGACCGTATTATCTGACTGGATCCATAGCCTCATGTGAACAGACGTGCACAGACCCCAAAGCCGCCTACTTGCATTGCTGCATTCACAATAAATGAATGACCGTTGAATGTGAGGCAAGGCGCGACCGGCTGAAGGGCTTTCCAGTCTTGCGGCAGTTCTTCCACACCAGGTCGATTGCGAACAGCAAAGAATCCCAGGTGTAACTGGAGCCCTGGGAAGCATGTTCTTCTGCCAGAAAAATCACGACTCCGTGTCCGTGTGCGAGCACGGCTGACAACAGAACTCCCGTTCGAGGGATCCTCTCGAATGTGCTATGCTTTGGCTGTTGACCGCGGGGCCACCTTGGCAGAGATGGTTTGGATCTGTCCATGCCGTCTATTATGAGTGTGAGGAGTGAACCATCACCACTCCGGGACTGCTGCCGCGATTCCCAGTAGGTGCTTCTGCACCGCCAAATGTGTGAGAGATGCCCCAACAACCTATCCACAGCTTGGGCATGTGATACAAACGACTTCGAATGTCTCATTTGAGACCGGTATTTCTCGCAAAGGTTGCACGAGCTGTGTTGGCTTTGGCGGCGAAACTTGAGAACCCGTCTCCATGGCCGGGAGACTTCATAGAAGAGCGCCTTGCTGGCGCATTTGTCACCTTCACTCAGGCACTTGGCCTGGTACAAGAGAAACAGCGAGCCCCATGTTCCAGGCGGGAGTTCCCTCTCTGGCAGCGTTTTGAGATCCATGTTCATCAGCCTCGACGTGGATCCTTCAAGCACTTGATCCATTAGACACTGTAGAAGTTCAGAACGGGCTTGGTCCGAATCAAGATCTACACCTGCAGGTACTAGCCTGAAGACGTCATTGGAGGTTCGTAATTGGCTGCTTTCACCCCAGAACACAACAAGTAAATGACATTCCTGCATCCAGGAAACTTTGTGGGCATTGATTCCGAGATTGAAAAATAGAGCTTCCGGAGGAAGGAAGTAATTGATGCCGTCGCAAGAGCTGGACGGGTGCCTTGTCCTCTCACATTGCCCCAAAAATAGTTGAAATGACCTTTTTGACACCTGTCACTGTCACCTTGTGCATGCGGAAAAAAAAGCACAGCGAGTTGCTTGGGTCCTTGACCTGGTAGTGTTCTCTCATCCATGCCTTTGAACCTATGGCGCGTCCTCTGCAGACGCGCGCATCCGATTCCCAAGAAACGAGCAAATGCCCGACGGCACACTTCTGTGCCTGTCAAGTTTGTGAAAGAGCAACACGAACTGTGAAAATTGGACAGTATCACCGTCACACCAGCTTGGACCTGCCTCCAATTGACCATGTCACATGGACTCGGGCTGCATCTGATTCATTGCCCGACGCATCACTCTCAGAAGAGGCCATGTCACCACCTCGAGTTTGCATGGCCCACAGGACCGCATCTTGCGCCGGCTTAGCCTCAGTGTAGTTTGTGAAGGAGTTTGCGTTCCAACAAGGAGAGGTCAACTTCGAACAGTTCGCCCCGTCTCAAGTTGAGAAAAGGGACCAGCGACCAAAACATCTTGCAAAATTGCATCAGGGTTTTGGCAGCTA